AATCATTATTAATCATTTCTGCTGGAGAGTTCCACAGGGGGCTGTTTTGGCCATGTTGTTTTTCAGCGTCTAAAAGAAAAGAGATTTGAATGACAGAAGAAACCATAAGCTTTAAAAATCTCTGGCTGATGGATAGCCAGGCAGGATTGAAAGTGCTCCAGAGGATAGGATTAGAATTTACAAAAATCCTAACAAATTAGACAATTTATACAAAACAAGAGTATGCAAGAAAAATACAAGAATGCCATGACAAAATGCAAAAATCAAACAAAAAAAATTGGATAGAGTGCAGAAAAAAAATTTTAACATAGCCTAATATTACAGGTTTGTTACAACATAGACAAATTCTTTTATAAATCCCATGCTATTGCTTCTTAAGCCATCAAAATTTCACGGCATATTTAAGCATACCATGTCTCCTTTCCTGATTTTTCTATGCACATGATACTGCTTTTAAAGGCAAGTAATTAAGGGAAAAGTGAGGATTGACACCAGTAAAAAATAACATACTGCAAGCTCAGTATCTGAACAACATCAACACTGGAATTAAAGCATCTGCCTCAAAGTTCAGAGGTAGCCATTCCAGCATACAAACAAAAGGAGCTAACAAAGTAATATGGTAAGAAAAAGTTGGTCTGTAATTGAAAACTTTTGATAGTACTGTCATGTAAATATGGCATCTTTGCTGTGGTAGGGAATCCCAAACTGCAATGTTTTGATGACAAAGCTGGATGGGTTTTCAGTTAAGGATAGTATTGAGAAGAAAGGGAGAGGTAGTTTATGCAAGTATAGATTATCTGCCAGGAAATGTATATATGTTGTTATTAATATAATCTGCATAAAATAATTGAATTACATATAGGTTTGTGGTTTTAGGCTTTGATATATGAACACCTGTATTTAGCTATAAACCAGAATATTCCTCCAGGAGATTAAGAAAAAGGGATTATATAATATAATGTAACTTTTTGATTTCTTCAGGCAGCATTTTTTGTTCTTTAAAGATAGGTCATGATATTGACAAAGGCTATGATCCAACAAGAATAGAAAAGTGTTGTGCAATGTCTGTTGTTGGAATATTGCAAAATTTAAAGCACACAGACCAAATATAAATTTGGGAATAATAGCATTTGGCATTTTTTTAAGTGAAGGGGGTGGCAGAGATATCAGAAGAATTACAGAGCTGTCCTAAATGAAATGTATTTCTACTGCTCTTATATTAGACTTTACTCAAATCTGTTTCCAGTTTTGAAAGAACTGGACAACACAATATATACTACCAACCTCTTTACACTATGCTGTTTTTTCTAAAGTCTAAGAAATGGGAAAGGATCCTGTATCCATAGAATAATAGAATCATTAAGATTGGAAAAGATCTTAAAGCTAATCAAGTCCAACCTTGCAACAAGCACTGCTGTGTTCCCCACTACACCTTTTGCCCAAGTACCGAATTTAAATGTTTTGGACACTTTTAGAAATGGTGCAGCCCTGAGCAACCTCTTCCAATGCCCAACCACCCTTTCAGTGAAGAAATTCTTCCTATTCTACAATATTCCCTGATGAAACATGAGGCCATTTCTTCTTGTCCCATCTCGTGTCTCTTAGGAGCAAAGGCTGATCCTCCACCTCACTACAACTCCCTTTTAGTCATTAGCAGAGAACAAGATTCCCCTTGAGCCTTCTTTTCTTCATGAAAAGTCCAGAATACTTTAGATATGCAAAAATAACTAGATAGTGGTGTAAAAAATTAATTTACACTTAAAATAATGTTAAAAATTTCTCTTTCATAGTACATTTGGGCCACCCTTAACTTTTAATTTTTTCCTCCTTTTGGAATGGGTATCTCAGGATGCTAATGTTGGGAGTGAAATAAGACTTTGGACAATGTTTTACCTAGGATTGAATTTAACTTTTCAAGAAGTCTGTTGGTATTTGGTAAAACCTTTGCAAAGAAAATTAGAATTAATGGGAGATGGTAATATACACTGTTGGAATTCCTTCATATTCATCATCATAAAAGTAGAGGAAATTGTTTTCTATGCTGAATTATAAACAGTATTTAAAATTCAAATAGCAAAAAGACCATTGAAAACAACATTTTATTCCCTTTCTTTTTTTCCCCCCTGACCTGTTGAAAGGGAAATATATTATCATTGTCCAGTACTGAGTCATCATAGAGTGATAGTTACTGCCTGGTAGTTCAAATGGTACCTTTAAAAAGGAGGAGCTATAAAAGGAGATTGAAAATGAAATAGTCTACTTAGTTAATGAACACTGTCAGTGTTTTTTACTGAAGTAATAACCTCAATAGAATAAAGCAGTTTCATATTATAATGGTCTTTTTATTGTTTTCTAAAATGGTGATGATCTCAGGTGGGGTGAAATTTAAACAAATTTTCAGAAATAAGCCTTAAAAACTTGACAACTGTTGAAGAAACATCCTGTAACAGTGGAAACTTGCTAAGCATTTAAATTATTGCTAAATACTGTCCTTGAATTGTGTGTGCAAACTTAGGGAATAAATAACTTTTTACAATAAATAAAACCAAATTACTTCAGGAGGCAGAGTTCCTGTTCTCTTTAAAGTACAATTAATTTCTGGCAATACAATACAATGAACTATCTTATTGATATTTTCAATTTATATACAAATAAATAATGTATAAAAATAGCATTTTAATCTAAACCTGAGAACGTATAATTAAAACTCCCAAGATGATTTTACAGAGCAGGAAAGTTCGTGGACAGAGAGAATTTGTAACTTTTCTGGATCAATATTTTAGTTCCCAGCAGAATTAAGATTATGTTTAAGGATTATTAGCATATAATTTCCTGATTTTAAACACTTGGGAGCTTTCTACGTGAGGATCAGAGTCTTGCCACAATCAACTTATTTTGTAGGAATATAGAGGGTTTTTCATCCAATATCAATTTTTGGTGACTTTTTCCTCCAGTTGGTTAAAGCTAGAGCAAAATAGCATAATTGTCCCGACATAGATTCAAAATAATAAAATCAAAAAAGGTTGTAGTGAGCCTCAGGTTAATTTAGACTCTTAAGACAGTGCTTGCAAAGTATATTTAGCTTAAGAGGCATATTTTCACTTGCACTGTGATTCTCATATCAGATTTCATATACTGCTGCTGTCCTAAGACAAGGAAGGGGAAGAGAAATAAAAAATACAAAAAAATTGTTGTGAGAAAATTTGATTGGAGAAATGAAAGTAAGTTAAACTCTTAAGATAGGAATTTTATTGGATTGTTTGAGGGTTTTTCCTTGTTTTCCCACCCTAGTAAAATAGTAACAATATTGCATGATGACTTCTGCAGAGACAACAGACTGTTCAGCAGGTTGAGAGACCTAAGACTAAATGTATTTTTATGGTGGGAATTCTGAGGTCTTTAACTTGATGAGGTTCTGCTGGATTTTCACTGTTAAATGTTCAGCTCAAACCCTAGCTAGAAACTGAAAGTAAAAAATAATAGACCATTTTAAGGTAAAGAAAGGGTAAATAGAAATATTTTTACCCTCAGGTTCTTTTTTTGAAAATGCGTAAAATACTTTGGTAAAATAATCTGCTAATTTTCAAGCCATGAAAAAAACCCAATCCAACAAAGAAGCCCAAAACCCATGAGCAAACCCTCAAAAACAAACAAGCAAAAACCAACCAACCAAACAAACAAACAAACAGCTAATGTAAAAAAACCAACCAAATAAAACCCACAAAACTAATTTATGTAATACAAACACCATGGAAAAATTTTTAAAACTTGGCAACACTGCAAACACTGAATGGATAATCTGTTAATAGGATGTCTTGAATAATCTTAAAACTACAGAGGCATACATGCTTTCTCTATAGCATCTAATATTCTCCTTTTATATGTTAATTATCATTAGCATAAAACTAACATAATTTTTATATTATGTTTATGTGTATTTTTTTATATATATCATTCTTTTCTACTCTTCAAAGGGACACATTTTTACTTTCTGTATTTTCTGCTATTTATTTACCAGATTTTAAATTTTGAGCATTAATCTTCATTAATGTTGCACTGGAAAGAGAAAAATGCCTGTAGACAAAAAGCTGGAAAGTAATTTGCTGCAGAAAAATCAATTTTAGATTGTTTTTATTAAGCTAATGTGTAACCTCAAACGTTATTAATGGAATAACCATGGTTATAGTATTGATAATTTTAACAAATCTAAGCAATTATAAAGAAATGCATCCAGTTCCATGAAATGAATGTTAATTCAATGATGAATAATTTGTATTTGACGATCATAAAGGAGACTTGCTGCACTAATCTGTTTTCTTCCTCTGCTCTTATAGAAAACATTTCTTTGCATCCCCATATTTACAAACATCTATGTCCAGTTAGACTCTCTATTGCTTCTACCCTGATGCACTTTCGTCAGTCATCACAAAGCATTCTGACACTTTTCAAACAGGAAAATATATCCTTTTTTATTATTTTAATTATTTTGATTTCCCCTCCTAGAACTAAAATCCTAAAATATGGTTTGATATTTATTACTTTCTAAGCATAAAAGTAATTTGTTTTCCAAAGGAAATTTTTATGTTCAAATAAACTTCTCAAGTCATAATTTAAACTACTCTGGTGTGCAGCTGGAGGTCTTCTACCCAGATGTCCCTGGAGTTCACTGGTCTCCACAGAAATTCACAAATATTAATTTCCAGGAGGGAGCTTAAAATTGATTTTTCTTCAAAACACTGTTGGGGTGTAGGGAGAGAGGGACTGAACACACTTGAAAGCTTACACTTCTATTGGGCTGCTTTTCTGACATAAAAAGTGCTCCTTTCAGAGTGTACTATTTGAGGTTTAAGTCGATTGATATTCACGTAAGGTACATATGTATGTTAATTATTTGTGGTTTTTACAAGTATTGAACAAGTATTTACTTGTTTTGTTGTATATCTAATGTCTGACTGTTTATTTTCAGTGGCTATAGAAAGCTTTTGCTTTGTGTTTTTCAGATCTCAGGATAGAGTTACTTTGATTGTGTTCCAAACCTGCAAGCTCAGAGTGAGTAATAATTTTTGTTATTTCTTTATCCTGAATTGGGATGGTTGTGTGAATAGCTGTTTTCTAGCAAATGATCATATTTCCTGGCACATTAAAAAGCCCAAAGAAGTCCCACTGAGTCTGTGATAACATCAGTCAGTCATATCAATGATTAATTAATCTCTGTTTGTTTCAAGATATTGTGAGGAAGAGGAGGTTTTTTTTAGGCTTACTCCATAACAGTAAAATGAAATTGTTCATGTTTTGTTTGTTTGTTGTATTTTAACATAGTTTTACTGAAGACATCACTGCATAACTGTACTTCAATGCTCTATGACATTTTGCATTTTGAGACTACCATTAACATAGTCATCAAACACAGAAAGCGATTTCAAAGAGAGAGAGATAATACAAACCAAGGAGACAACAATCTGCAAAAATGACAGAGGTTCTCTACTTGTAAACTACATTTCTGTACATTAAATTACTCGTGAGAAACCATATTTTAGGAGTGTATCAGGGCCAAGCAGCAGAGAACAGAAATACTATAAAAATTATTTCTTACTATCAGGATTTTTATGTTACAATGTGGGGGATAAGACGGATAGCTGTTATCAGGAAAACTGAAGTTACTGGAAACCTCTGGTTGCCATAAATCAATTTTTATACTTTCCCATATACTAAGTTTTTTGAGAAATGTTATGTTTAACATGAAGTCAATTTAGCAAAATACATTGATATTTAGCATGGTCCTGAGGTAATGTAATAAAGCTATTGAGACAAACAAGCTAAAACAGGTTATCAAAGTATTCCCCTGTGTCTTAAGCTTGTTTCATAATATTAGACATAACAAAGTAAAGTGCTTGTTTCATAACAAGGGACAATATGATTAGCATGCAATTGAGATCAAACTCATGAGCAAACCTTATTTGTACAACACAAATAGCTGTCATACTGTGCACACATGGGCAGCAAATGGCACTGATAGACAGTGGAAACCCAAACCCAGGAGAGCAGATCTGTCAGCTCTGCCTTGTGTTTCCACTCACTGTGTAAAGGTAGTAGTTCAGTTTTGCCATGTTGCTGCTTTTCTAGTGAGTCACAAATTTTGAGTTTTATGGCATATTTCAGTTTCAAAGCCTTGATCATTGCTCTCCCACAATTCTTTATAAGTAAGCAAATCTACTGTCATCAAATTTAAGTGTATAGATAATTGCTTTGTGAGGTGGTTGAGGAAACACTGGCAGTGTTTAATAACAATACACAGGAATCTCACTATAATTCTGGTATATTAGTTAATATAAGATTCCTGGTGACATTTTCCCCTATGTTTTGAACAACTGATGCTATAAAATACACAGAAGCATATATGCATGTGTGTACTGTGTATTAAAAAATCTTGATTTTCAAAGAAAGATATATACAAAGACAATGGTATCTCATGGTTTGAGGAACCTTTTATTTTAAAGGACTTTTATGGGTATGGATATAGGAGGCAGCTAAGCTAACTACATAAAATAATTGATAAATATAATAAAATTGCAGCAAAGTAAGAGGGAGGAGGATTTGATATTAAAAAATTACAAATAAACCTCCCCATATGATACAAAACAGAAATCATTAACTCTTTTAGGAAAATCCAGGAAAAAAGCTCTCAAACCTTCAAAAACCGACAAAGAAGAAAAAAAACACAAATCCACAAAACCCCCAATTTGCCACTTATTTAAATCAGATCACTTAAAATCAGCCTATTCGGAGCAATTAAAAAATGCATCTGGTAGGGATTTAATATGTAAGAGGCCTCTTTTCCAATATTATCATCTTACCAAGCTACTTAAAGTAGAAAGATAAATAGTCTAATTAATTCCTTGCATGAATTACTAAATAAAGTTCAATGATGTCTATAAAACATGGGATTCTCCCCAGCACTGTTTGTAAACTGTATGTACAGCAGATTTGTCAGAGAACTTTCTTACATTGTCATATTGGACTGAAATTTACATACATGAAAATGATCCAGATGACTGAAGTAGAACAGAGCAGAACAGTAGAACAGACAATAATACAGACAGCTACTTAGTATTAAAGAATCATTGCAAAATTTGTGTCAAAACCACTCTTTGTTGAGTTAGAAGTTTAAAGAAAGTTTTTTGTATGCCTGATTTAACAATTTATTATAAAAACCTCCAAAAACAGGACACAGGCAAAGCTAAGTAATACTAGTACTGATTTTCTAAATCTTACTGTGCTGTTTCTTTTTGTTCTAACAATGACATTGTATTATGTATATATTTAGCAAATATTACCAATAAATAAATAATTTCAACTTTCTTATTCACTTAAGAATTACATGATCATTCTTAGAGAAATTTGAAAAAAGAATTAATTTTTTAACTCCTTTTATATCTTTTATTTATCTGTTGCCTCATGTGATTAAAGAAGCAAAATAAAATTTCAGGACTATGACAAATTTTCTGAAAAAATTACACATCAGCCACTTAAATTTGCAATATACTCCTTTAGAAACAAATATTAATTTTTTAAAAAATATACAGTGGGAGAAAACAAAAACCATCAGTTTCCTGACACCTTGTGGATGATATGAGTCTGTAAGGGGCAGCACGCAACTTCCAAATTCTGAAGGATGTGTCTCTCCCCTTAGGATGTTAAACAACTGAATAAATTCTGCTAACTTTCTATTGTTGTCTTTTTCACTCTTTTGGTATATCAGTGAAAGCAGTGGCAGGAAGGAAGTAGACATGGACAGTGAGCTTGAGTTTTGTTGTACATTCAGCTTGTGATGTCTGTTTCTACAATCTGACACTTATGAAAATAATTTCCATCAATCTGTGTTTTCAACAACATTCTGCCATCCCAGAAATACCATAATTTTAATTTTTAATAATTTCTCATATTTTTATACGATCTAGAAAACCAATATAATAGCAAACATCTATTTTTCCATTTTAAAATTAATCTTTTTAATGACAGACTTTGCAGACATAATCTCAAAATACCATTTCACATGAATTCCTCTGAGTCCTGTATCACAAATTATCATATATATTTCTATAAGTATGCTTGTATGTTAGCTGGAAACACCTTGATACTAGTTACTGCATTTAACATTGTATTTGGAGAATACTTTGCTTCTGATTACTAATTTACATGTGAATGGATGAAAATAAATACAAACAAATATGGGCATATATACTTTACAGAATATTAGTCTTCCTGAATGCATTCAGATTTGATCCTGTATAGTCTCTGATTGCATTTTTGCTTTAGAGATAGATATGTATGCATGCATATATGGAAATGTATATGCATTTCTAATGTGTAAAGTAGTATTTTCCTAAAAGCACTGTAAAAGTGCTTAACCACTTGTTCTTGTTAATGTAAATTTTAGCATAAGTGTAATAAAACATAGAAAAGTAGCACAGCAAATTTATCTTTTAATAGTTTTCATACTAGGTTCACTAATGTGTGAAAAGGTTTGGATAGATATTTTGTATGCCATGTTATAGTAAAAGGTAGTAAGTTCTGGGATTCTTTCACTGTTATTTTTTGGGTTGTTTTTGAAGTAACAAAAAATAACTCCTGCTGGAGAAATTCTATTTCTCTTAAATATTCAAATGCACCACTTAAAAATTATTTATTTTATTTGAAACACAAAATAGTTACTACATTAATTTTTTATTAAGGAATAGCACCAATGCAAGTTAACCAACTTGGATAAAATGTGAAATGGAAAAAAATTATACTGAAAACACTTTCTTTTTCTAATAAGGAATAACATATAATATTTTTCTAGTAGGTCCTACCACGGCCACAGCCTAAGGCAAATTATCATTAGAATGATAATATGCAGTCTTGATTATATTGTCTTTTTTACCTCTGTTTTCAGGATACAGGAAATAGGAAGAAATATTTTTAATCTATTACCTTCTATTTAGAAGCCGTGTCAATATCTGCTTATGTAAGATTAGAGTTACTCCTTCTTTAAAAAGAATGTCGAATAGGAAAAGTAAATTTTAAGTTAAAGGTTAAATTTTCTCTTTCATCCAGCCCCTAACATTATCACAGAACATTTGAAAATGACAGGACTTAAAATGCAATATAGCAAGAAGTTTTGCTTTTATATTAGTAGAGATCTACTAACTCTCCAAAGGAAGAAATTTCTCTCCAAATCCAAGAGGTACTGTGCAACCATTTTTTTAATGCTGCAAGAGACAGGTCATCAGGAAAACTGGCCTCTTGACCTAGTAGACAGGGACATGGAACAGCATAGTCCCGCCCTGTAGTCCAGGAGAACACAATTAGTGACCTGCTGAGCCACTTAGATGTTCCTTTGTCAACGGGACCAGATGGAATCCATCCTAGGATGATGAGGAAGCTGGGAGAAGAGCTCACCAAGTCTCCATCACTTATCACCATTCCTGTCTCACCAGTGAGGTCCCAGACAACTGGAAGCTACCCATCCATAAGAAAAGGTGGAAGGACACTGCAGGAAACTACAGACCCGGCAGCCTCATCTTGGTGTGGCTGCAGAACAGATAATCTTGTGTCATTACACAGGATCTACAGGATGGCCAAGGGCTCAGGCAGCCAAAATGGATTTAGGAGACTGCCCGGCCAACCTGACCTCCTTTTATGACCAGGTGTCCCCATCTGATCCTCTGAACAGGGACGTGTACCACTGGATAGATGGGCCAAGTCCAATGGCATAAGTCCAAGTGCCAGGTCCTACACTTTGGCCACAACAAACCCCTGCAGCACTGTGGGCTGGGGAGAGAGTGGCTGGACAGTGGCCAGGCAGAAAGGGCCCTGGAGGAAGTGACTGACAGCAGGTGAATATGAGGCAGCAGTGCTGGCCAAGAAGGCCCATGGCATCCTGGCCTGTACTGGCACTGATGTGGCTAGTGGGGCCAGGACAGGGATTGTCCCCCTGTACTCGGCACTGGTGAGGCCACACCTTGAGTGCTCAGCCCCTCAGTATAGGAAAGGTGTTTAAATGCTGG